GCCCCGCATCAGGCTCCCTGGTCTGTGGGAAGCCTGCTTCTCCCTCTCCCACTCCCCCTGCTTGTGTTCCCTCTCTCGCTGTCTCTCTCTCTGTCAAATAAATAAAATCTTAAAAAAAGAAAAATTAGACTATTAATAGTAAAAGTGGAAGAAACTTTTGACATCCTTTGTACCATTCAAGATATACGGATTTTCAAAGTAAACATTATAAAAGCATATCAACTAATTAATAGGCCTATTTAAAAATTTGGGTAAAGGATCAAATTGCATATTCTCTTAAATATCACTAATTAACTGATAAGACCACAAACTGATGTTTCCCTCCAACCCCACACGTTCTGTTTTTCCCACTTAATTTTGGAAATCATCTAAGAAAAAGAAAAGTCTGTCTGTACTTTTCTATTTAGGATTCACTGCCAAAAATCTTTGAGGATATGATTAAGAAATATTAAATAAAGCTTATCAAAGTAAGTATTTTTAAATCTTTAAAACTAGCTTTAAATTCTTTCAAACTAGGGTTTCTTTTTTTTTAAATTATTTTTTTTATTTTAATTCCAGTAGGGTAAACATAGTTATATTAGTTTCAGGTGTACAATATAATGATTCAACACTTCCATAAGACACCCGGTGCTCATTGTGACAAGTACACTTCTTAATCCCCATCACCTGTTTCACCCATCCCCTTAACCACCCCCCCGTAACCATCAGTTTGTTCTCTATAGTTAAGAATCTGTTTCTTGATTTGTCTTGCTTTCTCTCACTCTTTTTTCCTTTGCTCATTTGTTTTGTTTCTTGTATTCCACATGAGTGAGATCATATGGTATTTGTCTTTCTCTGACTGACTTATTTCACTTAGCATTATTCTCTAGCTCCATCCATGTCCTTTCAAATGACAAGATATCATTCTTTTTTATGGCTGACAATATTCCATTATAGATATATACCATTAGAGATATTCCTTATCCATTCATCTATCGATGGACACTTGGGCTGCTTCCATAGTTTGGCTACTGTAAATAATGCTGGTGTAAACACAGGGGTGCATGTATCCCTTTGAATTAGTGGTTTTGTATTTTTGGGGTAAATACCCAGCAGTGTGATTACTGGATCATAGGGTATTTCTATTTTTAACTTTTTGAGGAACCTCCCTCCTGGCTTCTACATAAACTAGGGTTTCTCTTAAGTTGAAAAGAAATATATGCAATGTTTAAAAAAAATCAAATAGGGCCAAATGAAAAATTCCTTTGTTTTTGCTCCCTGTCTCCAAGTCCTATTCCTTAGTGACCAGTATTAATAGCTCCTTGTATATCCTTCCAGAAAATTTAATGTATAAATATATAACCTTGTAAAGAAACATTATTTTACACCTTCCTCCCCTTCCTATCTCACTGTGAAACCATATCTTAGTATCAAAACTTACAGATCTCATTCTCTGCTCAGAAACACACAGATTTAAACTGTCTATTAAGGATATATCATAAGTGGTACAAACATGAAAAGCAATGGGACGATAAGCCAAAGGTCAAGGTGATGGTTACCCTGATGGGAAGGCAAGGTGGGTAGTGAGGAGCATGAGGCGGGGAGGGGTGTTCCAACGGTACCAGTGAGGTTTTATTTCTTAGGTTAGCGGTGGCTACATGGGCATTTGTTTTACAGTTGATTTTTACACCTTCAAACAGGTGATGTGCATTTTTTTCATCTGCTTTTATTTAATATTGAAGAAAAACAACTGAGCAATCAAATGAGGCAATGAGAGGACTCGTTGTAATCACTAGTGGTTCCATAGACTACGAGTCCTCAGTCTGTCCCCGACACTGCCCGTTCCTGTTAATACTGAGCTATTTATAATCGTCCACCTTGGCTGCTGAGCCTAAAGGCATATCTAAGCAGAAATCAGGAGCAGAAGCAGTTTCACCAGGTGGGCTGCCATACATTTTTCAAATGAAAACAGAGGTCCTAATACATCACACTGTTGTTAAAAGATCCCGTTTCCCTTGGTTCTCTCTTAGGCTTTTCTCCATGACATGTCTGTGAACTACACAAAACATCGATTCAAGACACGGGTAGAAGAGCTGAAGCATGATCTGTGGCAAGAGGTATTACCGGATCTCCCTCTCTGCATAGACAGGATCAAGCCTTTCTAAATGATTTAGTGTACATAACGAAACCCCTCTTCGAACCGTAACTGAAGACCTCTGGTCCCTGTCATTACGGGACCAGAACACAGGAAGCCCCCCAGTCCAAGCCAAGTACTGACAGTAGATGTGCAGACATGCACAGCTAGCCTGGGGGTGGGCAGCTGCCTAGATGTTTTCTACCCCCTCAAAAAGATCCTGACCTAGACCTAAAGAGTTAGTAATAGTCTAACTTTGTTATGATGTTATGAGAATCTTCAGAAAGCTGTCTATATTTTATTTTAAAGGATGGTGTCTTTTCCCTGGGGTTTCTGGTTCCACTTTCCTGATTTGACTTACTCCTGATTTGTTTTTCTTCCTTCTCCTGGCTGTCAGAGGGTTCCCTCAAAACCTGGAGCTTTCTATGCCTCTTTCTTCTTCTGTGGAGAAGAAGATTTGATCGGTTTTCAAGGTCTCAACTAGCTATTTAAAATTAAACCTCAAAAATCTTTAAACTCTTTCATTTCCTCCTGCACTGTTCTAGTTCAAACTCCTCAAGCCTTCCAATCTGAGCTACTATCTCATCTGAACCGCTAGCTGGCCTTCTTACTGACTCTAACTTTCTCATCTCAGCTGAGCCTATATATTACACAGCTTGACTAACGGTCCCAATAAACAGCTCGAGTCATTTCGTTTGCAATTCAAAAACCTTCAGGGATCCACTGCTGTTCACAGATGATGGGTTACAGTCCTTTGCTTGACAATCAAGAGCCTCCGTAACAGGGCACTAATTTATCTTTCCAACTTTGTTTTCCCTCTACTAATCCATGTATTTATCCAACAGTGGATAAATGTGGATGGCCCTGGCCATATAGAGGTGAATAAAAACAATTTCTGCTCTCAAGGAGCTTATGGCCTGGTGAAAGAAACAGATGCAAACAGTGCAGTAAAAAAATACAATATAGTAAAAGCTTCCTTAAAATGAGCTCCACTAAAACCACTCAATAGATTAACTGATACTCTCCACCCTCTCGTTATGTAAAATGAATGGACTCATGTCCAGGGCACACCCTATGCTCAGAGTGGGTGGGCCACCCCGAGTACCTGTGCTCTTCTCCTCCCCTCTGTTGATTTATGTGTTAACCACATCAGCTAGAATTGTCTCCAAATGTGTTAATGTCAGTTGTAGTTGTAATCAGGAAATCTCGTTGAATAATAGGTAAACTGATCAAAGCGGAGTGCCAAGAAAAAGAAATTTCTATAAATATTAAGTTTATTGCTCTGAAAAATCTAAGTCAACTTTAACTTAAAAACTGCTGTACAAAAGAATGTTGCTACCGAATCTGTAGACAAGGTGCTTGTAAAAAGATGGGAATAACAACAGAAAAATCTAGAAGGGATACACATTGCTTTGCAAGTGTATTTAAATTCTATTTCCACTTTAAGGAAACTAAAATTAGAAGTTATAGGTTCATTAAGAATTTAGTTTATGCAGCTGACATACAGCTTTGGCCCCATAGTCAAAGTTTGAGTAATTTATGTTTTCAATTAAAATAAAGTGTCTTCCTTATGATCAATTTTTATGACACCCTGCTTTAACCAATTTTAACCAATTTTTTTCAGTTAGCTGACTCAACCTCAGTGCACTCCCCCACCCCCCCAGGTGGAAGTATTGGTTCTTTCTGGTGACCTCTCGTTACTTCATCTGTGTCTTTTTCATGCTGCTCATCACTTACTGTTATTTATCACTAAACTTTAGAAACAAGTGTCAAAAGGCAACATCTAAATTTGTTGCAGATAACAGGATGAAGGATAGCAAAATAGGCTACCCCCAAATATGCCTCTTTAGTGTACTGATTATTTTAGCTGCAGGCTCTTGAAAAACAGGAAAGGCAAGGAGAGGTTTTCTCTGAACTGCACTCATCTGCCTAAAGACAGATCTTCCAAACGGAACCCAATTGTCCTAGATCCCCTCCCCTGGGAGTTTCATCAGTCAGGCAAGATTGACTCTGATCACGGGAAAGGAAAAAAAAAACCTGACATCACACCCAGACGAACTTTGTCCCACACTATCATACCTCCTATCTATTCTTCTAAGGGCCCATTTATCTTTCCTAAAAATCCTTTATTTTCCCCTAAAAGGCCTTCTCTTTCCCTACTGAAATGGTATTTAATCCTGAATTCTGGGCCACCTCTGAGTTACTCATTTTTCCGCGGGCCTCTCCCCTGTATGCATGAGATAGACACATTAATACATTTGTTTTTCTCCTGGTAATCTGCCTTTTATTACAGAGGTCTCAGCTGAGAACTCAGAGGGTAGAGGGAAAATTACTTTTCTTCCCCTACAAGGATTATTCCTACATTTTCTGTTATTTTTCATGAAAGCATTACCCAGGGCACATCTGCATTCTGGTTTCTCTAAGGGTTATATTTCAGGATATACACAAAGAAGCTCTTCTTTAGGAGGTTCCACAGATGTCAACAACTAACACCAACCGACAGAGCAGAAGGGCCTCCATTCTTCCCTAACACTTGCACCAGCGCTCACCTAACATCATTTGAGATTGACCTGGTGCGGGTAAGGGCTGTATGTGAAGCAGTGTCTTACAAATGACTGATGAGGAAAAGAAGCAAGAGAAAACGCAAGTATTTCTGCATACCTTTTTTAAGACTTGAAAAGAAGCAAGAAAATGAGAACTAACACCACCAATATCTATTTGCTCCCCCAGCCAAACTTAACTTTACACATTGAGGGCTGGTATGCCAACACTTTGGACAAACTTGGCTTATGAATGACCTTTCCAGATACGTGAGTTTGTGAGTAAAGTACCCTCCTGCTCCCGTCCCTGCCACCTCCTTCCTGAGTAGAGACATATTTGTACAATTCAAAAAGGAGTCAAAATCACACGTTAGTACTCACAGTCATCCACCGTTGACTTAAGGCAATGCAAGCATTTGTCAGCGTCATATCATAACTGCAAAGATGAAAAAATACTAGAGATTAAATTTCATAAAAATGTACCTGCTTTTCCATAAATGCAATGTTGAAGTTACAGAACATACTTAACTTTCAAAGTTCTCTTTTTTTTTTTTTTTAAAGACTTTATGTATTCGTTTGAGAGAAAGAGGGAGAGAGAGCCCGAGGGAGACAGCATGAGAGCAGGGAAGGCAGAAGCAGACTCCACCCTGAGCAGGGAGCCCGATGCAGGGCTCGATCCCAGGACCCTGAGTTCATGACCTGAGCCAAAGGCAGATGGTCAACCGACCGAGCCACCCAGGTGCCCCTCAAAGTTCTTTTTAAATAAAGCCCAGGGGGGCGCCTGGGTAGCTCAGTCGTTTGTGTGCCTTAGGCTCAGGTCATGATCCCAGAGTCCCGGGATCCAGTCCCACATCGGGCTCCCTGCTCCATAGGGAATCTGCTTCTCCCTCTCCCTCTGCCCGTACCTCTACTCACGCTCTCTCTCTCGCTCACTCTCTCTCTCTCAAATAAAAATCTGGAAAGCAAGAAAGAAAAGAAAAAGAAAGAGGAAAGAAAAGAAAGAAAGAAAGAAAGAAAGAAAGAAAGAAAGAAAGAAAAGAAAGAAAAAGAAAGAAAAGAGAGAAAGAAAGAAAAAGAAAGAGAGAAAGAAAGAAAGAAAGAAAGAGAAAGAAAGAAAGGTAGAAAGATAGAAAGATAACTCCAGAGTGTTGGAAATAGGAAATCTTCTACCTGACTTAAATATACTGGTGTCATCTGAGAACTTGGAAATCCAAGTGGATACCAAATTAATGAAACACCTGATTATCCTCCAGAGAGAATGCCTCACCATCTCAGCAAAGATGGTCAAAAGCTTCAGTAGCGTCCGCTGAAGGCGCTGGGACTCAGGTGGGCACATTTAGGGCTTGCTGTGTGGCAGGCACAGTTCTAGGTGCTCATGACAACACAAAGTCCTTGCTTTTGTGGATTTTACATTCTGTTGTTCCTACTATCTAATCTTCCAACTTTGTAAACCATCCAACAAATCTGCGAATGCCTATGTGGCAGGCACGGTCCTAGACACCAGGGAAATGATGGTGTCACGGGAGACCCTTGGGAGACTCCGAAATCATGTGATGATTTTGTTCCTCTCTTTTCAGAAGAGAGTGGAAATAACAAACTCTGACCATTAAAGCCAAGCAAACTGCACTAAAATCTGTGTGTTCTCAACTTAGAAAATAAATCCTGTTCTGCAACAACAATGGAAGAAACTGTATAAGGTGCAAAAATTCTTGCAAAACATCCCTCTTTGTCCATAAATGATGCTTGCTTGCTGTGAAATGTTTCTATTGGAGAACAGTGGGTTCCTGCCCCTGTGGGCCTAAATGAAATGAGTTTTGATTAGAAGTTACCTCTGAACCTCTGAAAGACAGTTTGTGCCCTAGGGGAGATTATAAAGGGGTTAAAGCAGCACCCTCCTTTGAAGTAGCTGCCAGTTACTTTTTGTGAAGTAGCCAGGCTGTGGACTGAAGAAAAAGCCTTTTGTTTGTCCCCGAGACCAAATGGAATCAGAGGTGGTACATTGCTCAGGCAGTAAATCACCTTCAACTAGAACATTCCTTAGCAGTGATTTCATAAGGAACAATAGGACAATACAAAACCTCTGATCTCTTTCTGGGTGTCCTGAAACTTCCTTCTCATTGTCATGAAAAGAATTAGGTAAGGATTAGCCCAGGGAAGGGAAGCAGCCCTTATTTATGGCAAGGTCCTAAGAAAAGAAGTGAGCAAAACCAGATCAGAGCCCTGCTCTCACGGGGCTTCAGTGTCGTGGAGGAGAAAGACTTTAATAATCACACAAATTAAAATTACTGCTGTGGTAACAGCAATGAAGAGGCCATACACAGCACCAGGAAACCCTAAATGGGGACCGGATTTGGTCAGAGAGGTCAAGGAATATCTCCATGAGGAAGCGGTTCTTGAGCTGAGATTGGAATGACCTGGGTAAAGAGTACAGCCGGTGGGGGGAACAGCATGATCCTGGCTGGAACATGCGGTAGTTAGCATCCTCACATGACGACGTGTGGGGACCAGAGTTTAGGTCTCTGATTCGAAGAGAGTATTTAGTTTAAAAGGCAGTATATCGGAGGGGTAAAGCCTGCCAAGGTTTGAATCTCAACTCTTAACTACTTACGGTGCAAACTTCGGCAGGAGACCTTTACCTCGCTAAGTCTAATGTGCCTCCTCTGGAAATGGGGATGACAAATTAGAACACTGCTGTAATGATGACCATAATACTTATAAAAGTTGTATTTCTTATTGCAGAGGTTTTGACAGAAAGGAAAATATCTTCTCTGTATCACCATCCTTCAGCTGAAAGGAGGCATTCCATAATGATTTGTAATTAATTGAATTTATATTTGTAATATCATGGAAAAATCTTCTTTGACCTCAGGGTTAAGGGTCAAACACCTACTACGTCTACTCTCTAACTAGGACCAGCTTAAGGAAGTCCTCAAACCCTGTTAGGTATTTTGACGGGCTCAAGGATTTCGGCGAGTAAGAAGGGAAGCATTAGCAGGAAGTACTGACTTGGGTTTTACAGGAGGCATTCCAGGAGAGTAGAGCCAGGTGGTCCAGTCAACTTGATTGAGAAGATCAACCTGTGAACACGAAGAACACCGAGGTTGCTACGGAATAACTTTCTCCAATGGGGGTGAAAAATAAATCGAAAAACAGACTTTTAGGTCCTCAAATCTGTAATTTTGTCTACACTGACATGTCAAGATAATTTCTCAGTCTCTTTCCTAAAATAAATTTATATTAACCAGCATTCTGTTAAATAAAGCAGGAAAATTAAATACATACAAAAAACCACATTTCTGAAACCTACTATTGCAGATCTCTCTGAAACATTCACATGTTGTTGAGATCACATTTTACATAGGAAAAAGTACCATGAAAGGTTGAGTCTTAAATTCTAAACCAATACTACTATTAAGGAATTCAAATCAGCCTAACAAATAGCCATTAAATACAGGTATATTGGGCATAAAAAATAAGAAAGCTTTTAAAAAGCCAACCTTATCTTTAAAGTGGGAATACAGGAAATCCTTCCAGTCATCAGTGGTTATGCTCTTGTAGGAAAACTTCTCAACATAAGCCTTTAGGAATCCTAGGAAAACCTCTAATAGTAAAAGAAAAAAAAAAACTGATTAATGGAAAGGTAACTAATATTTTTTTCGGTGCATGGTATGGTATTCTTGACCATGGAGAACAGAGAACTTTCAGAGAAAAGGGAAACCAATAAGGGCTTTAGTGGTGAAAGAATGTTCAAATCAGAGGAGGTAGGACTTAAGCTGGGCCTTGAAGCATATATGTAATTTGGTGGAAGGGAGAAGAGAAATCCTAAATACAAGTAATAGGACAACGCAATGAAGAAACAGAGAAGGAATCCACAACACAAATTCTAAAAGCAATCGCCTTAGTGTGACCAAGAGGAGGAGAACAAGATGGGACAGTCAGAATGTGTGCATGTGAGGGAGGGCCTTCAAAGTCCACAAAGGAGAACACCCCAACACCTATCAGAAGGGGAAGGTTGCATACGTTCAGCACATCTATATCATGGACAACTCTGGTGGCATTAAAGAGCATAAGGTAGATTTGTATGTTCTGACATGGAAGGATGTCTGTGGAACACTGCTGAATTTAAAAAAAAGGTAGAACAAATTTTATATATGTAAAAATGATCCATTTTCTTATCTTTTTTTAAGACTTTACTTATTTGAGAGAGAGAGCGAGCATGAGCAGGGGAGAGGGAGAAGTAGGCTCCCTACCTAGCAGGGAGCCCAATGCGGGACTCAATCCCAGGACCCTGGGATCATGACCTGAGCTGAAGGCAGACGCTTAACCTACTGAGCCATCCAGGCGCCCCAATGATCTATTTTCTGTAATTAAAATATATTTGTCTGTTTGTTCACTTATACTTAGAAAAAGATCTGGAACCATGCACACCGAACTGCTAACAGTGGTTACCTGGGGAATGGAAAGGGGCTGAAGGACTCTCACTTGTTACTCTTAGAAACTTCTGTACTACAGAATTGTTTTTCATTGAGTACATACTATTTTCCTAATTTTTAAAATACTGATGAGTTTTCTTTAAAGTTATGGAACACGATTTTGAATTCAGCATATTCAAGGTTTGAAGTAGAGAGGTCACATTAGAAGATGATACAGATTTTCTTCAGCAGCTACACACAGAATGAACCAGAAGAATAAAATGGAGCAAAAACAAGTTAAAAATGCTTCCTTGGGCGCCTGGGTGGCTCAGTTGGTTAAGCGACTGCCTTCAGCTCAGGTCATGATCCTAGAGTCCCAGGATCGAGTCCCACATCGGGCTCCCTGCTCGGCAGGGAGTCTGCTTCTCCCTCTGACCCTCCTCCCTCTCATGCTCTCTGTCTCTCATTCTCTCTCTCTCAAATAAATAAAATCTTTAAAAAAAAAAAAAGCTTCCTTATTCTTCACATTGCCCTCAAAAAAAAAAAAAAAAATCAGAAAATGCCAACTACTTGCCGGGGCCCCCAAGAAGTTGTTCAAGGTAAAAGAGTAAAGCAAAGCCCTTCTCGTAGGGCACTGAAGAATATGCTACATCGGGGTCCACATTCGTCAGATCGACCACAAGTTTGGTGTAAGGATGCGTATCTCCAAAAGTCTTTATCTGCAAGACACAAAATTAGATGAACGTTCAAATATGTTGGTTATTAGCATGCAAGCAAACTAATAAGGAAGTATTACTTCACTCAAAGGGATAACTTTAGGGGAATCTAGAACTTAAACTGAGAGACTAGAAATTGTAGGGTATGTTAGCACAAATTTCTGTAAGTCTGTTAATGGAATGGCTACTTGTGTCATGTTCCATGATATTTCCTGCTCAGCAGTAGGCTTTATTCTTATAAAAAACTAGAAAAATGCGGGCGCCTGGGTGGCTCAGTTGGTTAAGTGACTGCCTTCAGCTCAGGTCATGATCCTGGAGTCCCTGGATCGAGTCCCACATTGGGCTCCCTGCTCGGCAGGGAGTCTGCTTCTCCCTCTGACCCTCCCCCCTTCTCATGTGCTCTCTCTCTTTCTCTCTCTCTCAAATAAATAAATAAAATCTTTAAAAAAAAAAAAAAAACTAGAAAAATGTTTCAATGCCTGGTCAGCAAATTCAGCCTTCAGGAGGGAGCCTGAAAAATTCAAACTAAGTAACTGACTAGATTAATTGCAAAGACCCAATGAGGTCCTACTGATCATGAACGTGACATTACACAGGCTAATCGCTGTATCAGTAAAGTATTATACCAGGGCCCCTGGGTGGCTCAGTGGATTAAGTGTCTAATTCTTTTGCTTCGGCTCAACTCATGATCTCAGGGTCCTCGATTCGAGCCCCACGTCGGGCTCTGTGCCCAGCGCAGAGTCTGCTTGGGGTTTCCCTCTCTCCCTCTGCCCCTCCCCTCCGCTGCCCCACACACTCTCTCTCTCAGATAAATAAAGCTTTAAAAAAAAAATGGAATATTATACCAGTATCTGCTTGATTTTCCACACCTGTAAGTATGGCTTTCTTGTTGCTACTTAGGAAAGTTAGTTTACAAATTAAACTTTCGAATGCCTATTCAACTTTGGAGAAATGCTTTTCAAAGCATGACTCACTTACTGAATTCTGTAGTTCTCCCCATCCTCCCAGCGCGTGAAAATGTCTGAACTTTTCACCAAACAGTCGTCCACAAATGTGGCGTTCCAAGTACACAGTATGTCCTTCGTTTAACCTGAAGAAAGGTTTTTTGTAAATAAAAAACAGTGACACAGCTGCAAGGAACAAACAATTTAATCAAGGTACTTTCTTTTTGGCTTTAGTAAAGAATTGTAAAGCATGGACACTATGGTCTAAGCAGATTGCCTATTTGGCTACTCTGCATTCCATTCAGAACAATGGGAAGCGCAGCCCAGCAGATGGCAGCTGGGAAAATCCAGCCATGGTTCTCATTTTACATGCCCATGTATTAAAATGTGACCCTACCAGGAACTAAGTAACAAGCACGAGCCGAATGCCCCTACTCTACCTGACAGTGTGACAAGTGTTGTGGAATTTTTTTTTAAAACTGTCTACCAAAGAGATGATGACAAAGAAAAACAAGATACTGCCACAAAACAATTTAGAGTGGCGGGAGGCAGGGAAAGAAATTAATAAGAAGAACCAATAAAGAAACATTAATAATAAAAAAATCTTACCAAAAGTGGTCCCAAGTTTTGTTGGTCACTAGATTTCCTGTCCAACTATGAGATATTTCATGCGCAATAACCTAAAGTGGAAATGATGTGTAGTAAATAGGGGAAGGGATTAGTGGTAGAATTGATCGCCTTACTCTAAAATAACTCTGTAAGTAAGCATTCTAGTTCTTTCAGTTCCACATTGTTCAATTTTTTTTTTTTAACATCAGCTGAGATATTCAGGGAGTTAGCTGAGCAAACAAATCATCATTTAGCCAAAGACAAAAGTATGGTTTAAAAAATTAGAAACAAAAAATTATTTAGAAAATATTAAATGGACACAACTCTCCATTAAAATATATTTCATAAGCATCTGAAGAGATCAGATCATAAAATGTTATGAAATCTATTAAATCTAACTGTTAATAGAACAACCCCTAAGTTATCTTTTATAAGCGTATCTTCAACATAACAATACAATGGATATTTAAAAAATCAGCTGACTTAATAGTTCTTTGAGGGTAAGACCACAATAACAAATTTTAACTTACATTGGAGAGTGACTTGTCTCCTGCCTAAAAAAGATGAAAATTACCTTAGTATTCAAATTACAGACTATATTTAAAAGACTGCCTACATCAGGACATATTCCAGCTTTAATAGTACGCTGTATTTCTACTGTCGCACTCAAAGGGGTTCAAAAGCAGAGTATGTATTGAGAAAATAAAACAAAAAAAGGCAGGACTAAAAAAATAGCATGATTCTTTCTCTCCCTCATCTGAGGAATTTTTCCATGACCAGGAAGGCCAGTATACCTATCTCCAACTTCCAGGAAACATTTCTCCTTCCATTTTTTTATATCTGTTCTTATTTCCCTTATGTACCTTATTCTCTCCTAATTACCCACAGCATATTTAAGAAAAGTCCGTAGTGATTTAAAGTAGCATACAAAGGCATATAAATTATAGTTATATACTGTAGGTCTAATCCTTCCCTATACATGCTAAAGTGAGTTTTTGTTTGTTTTGTTTGACCCGTCCCTACATGCCAAGTATAAATGGTCTAGTTTCTGTGTCTGCATACAGAATTCATCCATATATTGCTATGACGCCGCCTCCCCTCCCCCAACGCCCCACACACCTTGAATATAATATTCTTGTCTCCCTAATGGCCACTTATTTTCTTTTGAAAAAAATGGGATGATGAAAATGACCGTAATAAGCAATAACATCAGGAAGAAGAGGTATATAAATAAGAGAAAATACTGTTTAAAACAAATAGATGATCAGGAGCCTAAGGCTCTTCACACCCAGCTGTGTGTGTGAGAACTCAGCTGTGCGTGCAGACATGCTCACACTTACCAGCAGAGTGGGGGTTACGAACGTGAGGCAAGGATTCTCCATGCCGCCGTAAGGGAAGGACGGCGGCAGGACTAATAGGTCATACTGCCCCCATACATACGGTCCTCCCAGATCTTCCGCAATTTTAAGCATAGATTCAGTCTGGAAAATGAGTGCATATATATTTACATGTCTTAGTCATTACAATGATGAATTTCTTCAAAGTACCTGTTGCTTTCTACGAAGGTTATGAGTTAAGGATGCTCATTTTAAATTATATTGATGCAAAAAAAGTAGCAACTGCAAATCCACACAGAATAAGAGATATTTGATTCTCTTACCATATCACTTAACACCATCGCATTTCATACTTAAAGTCTTAAATCTATTGTCTACCAGGATTATTAAAAAGGGCAACTATATGACCAACCTCAGAAAATTCGTAAGCAGACTTTTCCACCTGCTCTTTCTCAGACCAAACCAATGTTCTTGGGCCAATTTGCCTGCAAAATTAAAAGGCTTAATAAAAATGAAGTTCAAGACACATTACTTACTTTCTAGGAAAGAGCTAAAGTACTAGCTACACGTCCTGACAGTAGTAGTATGATTTACCATGTGCTTTTGGGGACGGCGGGAGGTTTAATTAATGGCTTCTCTGAGATACAATCCTGTTGTATGCACACCAATAAATAGGCAGCTCTATAAGGAGGCCCTGTCTGGGCCAAATGAAAACAGAGACATAAGGTGCCCCCAAAGATTAGCTTACTGGCTCTGGTAAGAACTTTGGGGATCTAGTTTCCTCTCACAATCTCACAACTATAGAAACCCAGTCATGGCTCAGTAAGAGATTATTTGTTATGCACTTAAAGGTTGAACACTCACAGAAGAAGAAACAAATAGAAAAAGAAGGAAATCCTGTCACGTGCTAGAACATGGCTGAACCTTGAGCACATTATGCTGAGTAACCCAAGCCAGTTACAAAAGAACAAATACTCTCTGATTCCGCTTAGGAGGTCTCTAAAGTGTTCAAACTCATAGAAACA